ATCTACACCTGATGACCCTGCTGCTATCAAAGTAAAATTACAATATAAGTTGTATTAATTAATGCATTTTAAACTCCATTTGTTTGTATTTATAAATGTGAGGTTTGACATTAATTAAAAACAGTCACTGAATCATTTTAACATCACTGAAAAATCTGATGTAAATTTATTGTTATGGACTGGAAAACTGAATGTCTTTTTTGTTATAAATTTAATAAGTAAATACAGTATAATGAAGGCTAAAATCATAACAAACAGCAGCAAATAATTAAAGAAATCTAACTATGTTCTATAAATACTTTTAAACTTGAAACATTTTCTCCAAGTATCATTTAAACTAAGATAAAAACATATGAACAAATAAACATGTTTCAGCTCCAGCTGTCGATCTGTTGTTGTGTTTTTATTTTATCTGACAAACTCACAGTAAGTGTTGTTTTTAATCACACAACTCACACAGAGTTTAATAAAACCCTGCCAGGTCACAGTGATTAGTCAGCAGAAATAACATTAGTTTAAATACACCTCCTCCTTGTACACCTGTAACCTGACAGATTATCACAGATTAAGGGAACCAAAGGGAACGTGAACAAACACCTGTTGTTACCTCCGGACCTGTTCGCTACACGCAGCAGTGTTTGTGTTGCGGTGCAGAAACACTGAGGATGTGAAGCACGTTGTRGTCTTTTCTGTTTAGTTTTAAATGTTCCCGTTTTTTATAATTTGTTTCGTTTCAGCACTCTTCATCCTCTTCTGAAGCTAAATGTGATAACTCTTAGCAAGCATACACGTGTCGACAGAGTAACTGTTAGKAGAAGTGCTAACATCGTAGCATTGTGTGTAACACAAATAACATTCTGGGTGGATGAAAGTGTGCTGATTATAACAGTGTGTATTTTTTTACGAAGCTTCCAGGCAGGTAATTTGTCTCGAGGAGTTTTTATGATTGAATTACTTGAGGAATAGTTTCAGCTCTATTGTAGCTCCTCGGTTCTCAGAAATAACAGCCTGTAAACTCTTCCTACAGCTTCTGATGACAGTCTGGATTGTGTCTGAAGGTATTTAGACCATTCTTCTTTACAAAGCTTTGTCACTGATTCCTGGACATTGGTCTCCAGAATCTGCTGATTCTGGTTGGAATCCATGCGTCCCTCAACTTTAACAAGATTCCCAGTCCCTGTACTGGTCCCACAGCCCCACAGCATGATGGAACCAGCCCCACATGTTACTGTAGGTAGCAGGTGCTTTTCTTGTTCTGCCCAAATAACTCTATTTTAGTTTCATCAGTCCACAGCACCTTATTCCAACATGAAGCTGGCTTGTCCAGGTGTGCTGACATGACGCTCAGTTCTTTTGTTCAGCTCTACTTCTTATTGTTAAAAAAGGTTTAGATGCATGAAAAGCAACCACAGATATCTCCTGTATGTACACCTACTTTATCTTTTTAAAAAGTTCTTTTTGGTCATTTTTCTGATGTTTAAAGTGTCAAAATGTCATGTGGTGCAACCGTCCAAACTCATTTATTTTCTCAACAATGTCTTAAAAATTACATTAAATCTATTCAAATATATTTTCTTTCCTATTTGGCATGATGTTCAAAGGTTTTTTCATCTTGTACAAATGATCAAAGCATTTTTAGTTATAGTTCAATTATAACTTATAAATAAACTTTGTCTTATGATGTCCATTTAACCAAACATCATGTGGTGCGACCATCAAATTCTCGTCTTGGTACTAATATMTTGAAATCCAATCAAAAACAGGAAGTTGCATCAACCAACAGGTTGCCAAGAATCCTTGGAGACAGCAAGGAGTGTTTTTAATCTTTCTCAAATGTCAAAAGTGTCTCTTCTAGCAGTTAGTATGCATCATGTGGTGCCACCTTAAAAACATGGTTAATATTTAAATATTCCTACAAATATCTCTTTTGATTATAAAGTTCATATTTGCCTTTAGTGGGAAGTTAGCTTGTTTTTTTAAGGGTCAATATTCAGTGTTTCTCAGACATATATTTAAATACTATACCATAATAAAGTATCTATGTCACCTTTAGTTGTTATTAAAATGCTGTTTTTATGATTAAATAGAAAATAAACTTATCTTCTCATCACTTCCTCTTCTAAACGCCTTGAAATTGGCCTCTGTCTCTTTAAGAACCTCCTTCAGCTTCTGTCCCGTCCATTTTGATGCGGGGGGCTCATGTGCGCGTGCTATGATACAGTT